AACACTAGGTCTGGCAGGGACAGCAGCAGACGATGAGCCACAGGAGGAGGCAGGAGCAGACGATGAGCCACAGGAGGAGGCAGGAGCAGACGATGAGCCACAGGAGGAGGCAGGAGCAGACGATGAGCCACAGGAGGAGGCAGGAGCAGACGAGGAGCCACGCGAGGAGGTGGGAGCAGACGAGGAGCCAAGGGAGGAGGCGGGAGCAGACGAGGAGCCAAGGGAAGAGGCGGGAGCAGATGAGGAGCCAAGGGAGGAGGCGGGAGCAGACGAGGAGCCACAGGAGGAGACGGGAGTAGACAAGGAGCCAAGGGAGGAGGCAGGAGCAGATGAGGAGCCAAGGGAGGTGGCGGGAGCAGACGAGGAGCCACAGGAGGAGGCAGGAGCAGACGAGGAGCCACGGGAGGAGGCGGGAGCAGATGAGGAGGCGGGAGCATACGAATAGCCGGCGGAGGTTGATGGAGCCAGAGTGTCCACGATGGCGAATACAGATGACAGAGGCGAAGGGYGACAACCCAGGCGATGTGGAGGCAATGGCAACTGACCCACGAACCTCAAGGACCACCAACTCGGGGCCTGCCAACCCAGGAGACACCGGGACCACCAACTCAGGAGACACCGGGACCGCCAACTCAGGAGACACTGGGACCACTGACTGTGGAACCACCGAGACCACAGACTGTGGAACTGGGACCAAGACCACCAACTCAGGATCAGAGACTGGAACCACCAACTCAGTAAACATGGGAACAGACTCAGGTGGTTCAGCAGATCCGGTACACTGAGGTGACTCAGTTGTAAAAACAGCCGGTTTGGGCATAGGAACCCAAGAAAAAAAACGGGTGGGAGGAGGGTGGGCAACAGAATGAGCAGGAACCGCTGCTCTCGAAGGGGAAGTCCTCGAGAGAAGGCCAGACGGCTTAACCAGCTTACTTTGTTCTTGCTGCAGCTTCTCCAAAAATTCCAGGTCATTAAAACCTAAAAAATTCTTGCCTGCAGGCTGGGYACTTGGTCAATTCATTCTGACAGGTGTCGGCAGGGAAAAACYCAGAGCCCAGGCAAAAATCCAAAAGATAACCAAAAGCTTTATYAARCAAACAAAAAAGCTGGCAAGGCAGCTCAAAAACTTCTCAGGAGAACACGAAGGCARCAGGTGGTCACCACACAGGCTGAGGAGAAGCAACACAATGAACCGACAAAACACTGATGACAAGACTCAGAATATAAAAAATGGAAAAATAAATATATCCAATAGAATTTAAAAATTCAAAGCAAAATATGCATGATAGTAGCAGAAAGTCATACCGAACATTAATCTGAGTGCTAATACAGATCTTATACAGTCACAGGAGATGAAGCCCCATTTCTATGGACGTGCATCATAAGGTTTGACCAACATGGCTACAACTCCATCCTTTTCCACCATGAGATACGTTTTGTGGCATGTTGGTTAATATTGTGTACATGCACTGTGGGGTGCATTCTTTGCAGGATAAAACGCCAGATGTTTTAAGATTTGCCCTGTGAGAAATATTCACCTGCTGTGGAGACATTCTGTATGTTCTGAAGCTAATTAAAGCTAACCGTTTGAAACCAAAGTTCAGCATGAATGAAAATTACATTGACCCTGCTTCACATTTGTTTTTGCACTGTTTTGATTTATTTTTCTTTTGCACTTCATTCATTTCTGAACAGTTTCTGTGGGATTCATTAGGCTTCAGAAAGCAGGTCCCTCCCTTGCTGTATTATTCAAGGCTCAGTCAGTCACAGACAGTCATTAAAGTTTCATAGGAAGCAATTTAGTGGCTGAGCTATTTGCAAAGTGAGGTGAGTGCATCTGGTGGCACTACACCTTTGTGTTTTATGGCATGTGTTTCTGAAGCCATTCTGGGCTCTTCTGGGGTTAAATTGTTCTGGATGACAYGACAAGCGACGAGTCACCGGGTCGCAACATCTGGGACACAAGCACCTGTTTTACAAGCAGGAACAGTTCAGTTTTATTTAAGAAAAAAATACCAGTCAAGTTGGATCAGTTAAATAATAATTAAAATATAAAAAACAGCCCCCGCCCCTCTGCAAATGTAAAAAATTAACTATMAATTTGCAAAACACAGATATTGATTTATGCTTTTCTGCAATTTTTTGGGCATGCCTGATAAGCAGGAAATGCTAGATGAAATGTGAAAAATGGGTCAYGCTACATTTGTTCAGCATCATAAATAGAAATTGATGCACACGCCGGAGGGAATTCAGAAAAACTTATCATGAAATGGGATTTCAGCACAGTGAATTGCTCTGCTTCATGAGTTTCTGCGCATCCAGAGATGAACATTCTTACCCCTATCAGAATATATTTATTGTTTTGTTTACTAAGGGAAATTGACCAGTTAGAGCTATGGTCTCACAGAGAGAAGCTTGCAGGATCACCTGGGGCCATTCTGGGTGAAGTTTGCATGTTCTTCACGTGCACACATGGGTTTTCTACTGATCAAAAACATGCATGCTAGGTTAATTGGTAACTCTAAATTGTATGACCCTATGTGTCTCTGTCATGGACTGATGTCCTGTCCAGTGTGCCCCCCTCCTCTCCTGAAGCTGGGGGTGGCGGGGTGTGAGCGCAGTGTTTGTATTTAAAGAGGCAGCCTTAAAACAAATTAATCTGAGACATATCTCAGAAAAGGGGTGAAAGAGGGTCTTGTGGGTTTACGATATGGAAAATTTCAGACCAAAACTTTCCAGTTCTACTATATACAGACCCCAACTGAATGATTTAAATGTGAGGAAGGATTTAAAAGCATCATGTATGTTTGTTGTAGATGTAATTACAATAATTRCTTCCTAAAACTTTCATTAAAATGTATTTATTGGCTCACATTTTGCTAACAAACGTGCAGTGTTGACTCCARTAGTAAATGTCAAAGTTTAAAAAAAGACATTGTGTGAGCAGTTAGCGCTTTGAATGTCTACTGAGGTTGACTTTCAGCAGGATGTTTATAAAAACTTTCTGAGGTTCATTGAAATTGTGCCAACATTTCTATAAAATTAACCACAGATAACTGTGTTCAACACGTGTATGTGTGATTGGAAATTGTTTCATTGAGAAATAATCATCTTTTATGTATTTGTTTGTTTCTTTCACACCACATTGTTTCACACTTCAGCGCGACAAAACATCCATGACTAAACGTTTGCAGGCGCCATCAGACCGTTAGAGTGTGAGGCACACTGAAGGATGTTACACCCAGAGCTCTGCTGATGCTCTCAGTCACCTTGGTGTGTGTGTGCGTGTGTGTGTGAGTTTGTTAATGAGAGTAACAGAGTGACAGAGACGTGTGTGTGTGTGTGTGTGTGTGTGTGGATTCCTGCCCTGCCCTTCAACTCCAGTTAGCTGATTGATCTAACAATAGAAATCAAATCAGTGATTGCAGCTGAAGCAGTGAAAGCTCTTGTTTTGGTCTCGTTTCCAGTGATGTCTTTGTCACAAACTGTTTATGATTGGAGCTAAAATGTTCATTAATGTCCATTAATGGTAATTACTGCTGCTCATTAGGTGCAGGGGCAAACAGTTCCATTAGAAATTATGACTTTGACCCTGTCTAAGAGCCCCATTATGAAGCTTTTGTTAATGCATGTTACATTTCAGGGACAACAAGCCTGGTCAGTAATCTGTGTGACATGCTGAGACACTTCACAGACATATTCTGACTAAAGCTGAAACAAAATGATCACAGCAAAAGGAAAGATTGTATTAAAAATATGTTGACTTTCATTAATCTGTGTTAGAACCCAGCGTGAAATTCATATTGCCCTTGATGCAAGTTTTACTGTAAGATATTTAGAGTTGTTTGTAGCTGCTAGAAATATTTTGCTAAAAAACAGACAGTGTTAACTCCACCTGTTAATGCCAAGATTTTGAACAAAGATCTTTGTGTGATCAGTTTTCTCTCAAATTATTATATCTGAGATGAGTTCACTTGTTCCAGTTCATATTGAAAAAGAAATTTAAACCGTTAAAATGACTYATACAGTTGGTGTTTTAAACCTGAACATTTCACAGTGCATGTGCAAGAAAACCTTATTATTAATTATTTTATTTATTTTTATTTATTTATTTGGTGGGTTTACTGGAAAATTGGTGGTATTTTGTTGTAAAACTATACAGTAAAGGAGAACAGATTGTGTAATCAAGGTACATTACCACAAATTAATTAAAAAAACTGTAACTTTCAATCTTTAGATACATTTTGCCACAATGTTTTGCATCTACAAGACACTGTAGAGCAGCGGCTTTCAATTTTTTTAGCTTCTGGCAACAACATTTGCAGAAACTTGATATGATTATTCTGTGTATGCAAACTTTGCTAACAATATAAACAAACATTTTCATTCATTAATTTATGATTATTTTGCAATAATTATAGTGAAATTAGTTTGTATTTATAAACTGATGTCTGAAAATCATCTGGGTACCCTCACTTGATGTTTCATGACCCACTGAGGGGTCCCGACTCCAACTTTGGGAAACTCTAGGCCTATCTTCACTGAGGTAATAGGCTGTATTTAGGATTTRCAGCAAGAAATAAACTCAGTTCAGTTTATTTTAATAAATTGTGTGTCAAGAATTCCTGTAGTAAACCTTGAACTTTAATTACAATATTTAAAAGAAACAATTAACAAAATGCATAAATAAATAAACTCAAAGTTGCATTATATTAAATCTCTTTATTATTAATCAAAACAGCATAAAATAAATATTTTTTTTGTTTTTGTTTTTCTTGATCACTTGAACTGTGAAGTTGAATGTATTTCAGTTTAGAATAAATCCCTGCTCTGAGCTGCATGTGGGGCTCCTGGCTGTTCTTTGCGCTGGCACTGAAGCTTCTCCACGCAGAGCAAGTGTTCCCAGAACAGAGGACGGGTGTTGTGTGTGTGGGCTGAGGAGAGTCACTCAGTGACCAGGAGAGGGCATCTCGTGTCCTGAAACGGATCCGCAGCCAGCTCTCCTCCACCAGCATCATCCCTGTTGCTGTAGGACTGATTTATTCTGGGTGTCACGGCCGACGCGTCTCCTCCACAGCCGCCCGCAGCTTCTCCTCTCCCCGCCTGAGGCAGGACGCGGGAACTTGGACCGCAGTTTYCCCCCAACCCCACTTCCTTCAGCTCTGCTCGGTGTCTTTAGACGACTTGGTGGGKAATCAACAATTGGCGGCTCGGTGCTCGTGATGCCTTTTTCTTCTTTTTAATCCTCCCCCCATGAAAAGCTGAGGGGTGTCATCACCAGCTTGAGTGCGTCCCTCCTGTGTAAGGTTGCAGTCAGAATTATGCACCAAGCTGATGTCGCGCGCTAGAAGCTGCAAACTCCAGACAGAAGCTCTCTGACGCACACCTTGTGGAGCTCCTGTCCGACAGGTGTGCGGCTGTGACCGCGCGGCGCGAAGAGCGCGGGGTGGGGTGGAGCGGGGACACGCGTCCTGGATAGATGCGCAACTGTAGAGCAAAACGCTCAGTGCGTCTTCTGAACATGTGGAGTAAAAAACGAGATCCGTGAGGATGAGGAGAAGCAGACACCGCGCAAGTATGGGTATGTTCACTGCTCCTTTATTTGTCCAACGTTTAATTAAAGCTGATGTTCCTGCAGGGATCTCAGTACTTCCTGCTGTTTCTGAATGATCACAGCAGGCTGGTGGATCTGAAGGTTTTTCTTTCAACAACTAGTTGACAGATCATACCTGATGCATCACGGATCAGGTGACACAGGTTGAAAAGAAGAGCTTAGGATAAATAAATTAATTAAAAAATCTACATCCTCTCTGCCTTAGAGTCTGATTCTTGGCTTTTAAATTCAGTATAATTCCATCATGCATTTGACACATTTACATGTTTTCTATCACTTTTTTTGTGTTTTCTCCAGGACCTTCTGTGCTTTTCAGATGGCTTGTGTTCACAGTGGTGGTGCCTGCCTGGCTGCTCGCCGCTCCAAGTGGCATCCGGGAGCGCCGCTGCCCCCAGAGCTGCAGATGTGATGGGAAAATAATATACTGTGAATCCAACGCCTTCCGTGATGTGCCAAACAACGTGTCTGTGAGCGCCCAGGGCCTGTCGCTTCGCTACAACAGCCTGGTAAGCCTCAGAGCTCGTCAGTTTGCGGGCATGAGCCAACTGGTTTGGCTTTACCTCGACCACAATTACATCAACGCCGTGGACGGTCAGGCCTTCCATGGGATACGCAGACTCAAAGAACTGATTCTCAGCTCCAATAGAATGACACAGCTTAAAAACAACACATTCCACGATGTCCCGAATTTACGTAATCTCGACATGTCCTACAACAAACTGCAAGTTCTCCTGCCAAATCAGTTCATTGGGCTACGGAAGCTGTCCAGTTTACACTTGAGGTCAAACTCCCTCAAAACAATCCCCATGCGAGTTTTTCTTGACTGTCGCAACCTGGAGTTTCTTGACATTGGCTACAACAGGCTGAGGAGCCTAACACGTAATGCCTTCGCAGGACTCCTGAAGCTCATTGAGCTTCACTTGGAGCACAATCAGTTTTCAAAGATAAACTTTGCTCATTTTCCTCGCCTGACTAACCTGAGGGCGCTCTACCTGCAGTGGAACCGGATCAAACTGCTGACCCAGGGCCTGCCGTGGATGTGGACTTCRTTGCAAAAGTTGGACCTCTCAGGAAATGAGCTGGAGGTACTGGACCCGAGCACATTTCAGTGCCTGCCTAATCTCCAGACTCTGAACCTGGACTCCAACAAACTAAGCAACGTCTCTCAGCAGACAGCGGAGATGTGGATCTCTCTCACCACCATCAGTCTGGCTGGTAATTTGTGGCACTGTAACCCCAACATATGTCCACTGGCGTCCTGGCTCAAAGCCTTCAAGGGTAACAAGGAGACTACTATGATCTGTGCAAGTCCCAAGGAGGCACAGGGAGAGAAAGTGACAGATGTGGTGGACACTTATAACATCTGTACAGCAACTCCGACCCCTATCCCCTCAACAACACTGCCGCTCACATCTGTGTTTCAGCCTGAACTGCTGCCTCTCCCCACAGAGGCTGCGGTGGACATCAAGCTGACCTGGAACAGGACGGCCTCTCCGACTCCTTCCGAGGCCTCCCCCACCGTACCTGTTCCAGACACCGAGTATGTGTCCTTCCACAAGATCATAGCTGGAAGCGTGGCCCTCTTCTTATCCGTGGCTATAATTCTTCTGGTTATTTATGTYTCGTGGAAGCACTATCCCAGCAGTCTCAAACAGCTTCAGCAGCGCTCGGCGGTCAAAAAGCGCCAGAAAAAGACTAGGGAGACTGAGCGCTCGTTTAATTCACCACTGCAAGAGTATTATGTGGACTACAAGCCTTCACACTCAGAGACTATGGATATGCTGATTAATGGGACAGGACCTTACACATACACCATCTCAGGCTCCAGGGAATGTGAGGTATGACCGTTGCCCTCCAAAAATCCATTTCCACTGCGAGGCGTGCGAGGTAAATTTTCTAACACTCTGTGGGGAAAAATAACCTGTTTTTCCTTCGTTCTTGTCTGCTTTGGGATAAGGAAGCAAAGGTCAGTGCATGGTGACTTGTTTTGCAATATGCTGGGTATTTCAGTTCCATACGAGCAGCCAGCTGTTGCTCGGCATCATGTAATGCTATTGGTAAAATATGATTCCCATTAGCTGAAACTGTTGTGTCAGCTCCACTTTTTTAGGGGGGAAATTGCACACAGTGCGACGCATTATACGCAGAGCAGGTTCATTTTTTCATCACTTACATGAAAGGGTCCCTTGATTAATCTGTGTGTTATCAGCAAGCCTGTTGTTTATTCATAAACACCTTGCTWTGCTGGACTGAATGAAAGCTGAGAGTTAGATCAAGTCACTGTGCAGGTGGTCCTCTCCTATCCCGTGTGTTTGCTGCAACAACCCCAGTAACAAACGCACAATTTATGTGAGTCCTGATATTTGTTTTTGTCTTGTATAAATTATGTAAATCTTTACTATTCTACCTACTGATGATCATATTACCCGTTTTATTTCTCTGCTTCTAGCAACTGTGTACTTAGCATTTTTCTCATTGGTTTAATTTGCAGAGTTCAAACAGTCTTCACAAGCTGCAGAACACCACGAAGGCCTCTAGCCAAATAGAAGATAAATTATGTATCTGGGCTCAGTTTTTGTCGGGTGCACCGTGGCAGTGAAACAAATTGAAGGAACTGTTCAGACACGGAAGTGAAACTTTTGTCTTGTAAAGTTGAAATTCTCATTCCAGAGCTGGATTTAAGGCAGAAAGCCCTGAAACAGCCTAATGAATTTGCTCATGCTTAATTAAGCACTTTTTTCCCTCTGTGTACYCCCCAAATGCTACGCATCTGTCTCCTGTTTTTGTCATTTAGCTCTATGGTTAAGTGTGATTAACAGGACATGTTGTGCTGGGAAAGATGAAATGCCATTGGACTCTTTTGTATTACTAACCAGACATGCTGAGGAGTACAGGGGACATCTTTCTTTCCCATTGTATCTGTCAGTGCAGCTCAGAGTCGAACTTTTATCTCTCGCTGCCACACAGCTCATTTCCCATATTCTACACTGAGACTATRAATCATTTTAGAAAACGATTTAAGTCAGAGGGTTGTACCGTAGGACCTCTATGGTTCTTATTGTGTCCTTTACTAAAGTCACTGGAGAGGCTAGCACAAATGTGTTTGATTGGTTTCAGGAATGTCAAATACTGAGGTACACAGGCAGCTGAAGCAGTTCTTTTGTCAGGTTATCTGTGCCAGAGCATTTCTCAAGCTTGAGGTGAGAAGCTCGATCTAGGAGCTTTCATGAGAGACTGTGGCGTGGGAGCATTAAATGGCAGACCTAATGGGGCTTCTGCTAGCTAGAATAACTAATAGCCCATCAGAGATAAGGAGCTGAGTTGTCCCTCAGCTTTGTTATTCCGTGCCCTCTGCAGCTCAAGGGGGAAGCTTGTGTTGGTAAAAAACGAACGGGGAATTCTGTTTCTCTGCATCTGCGCTGCCTTTCCTGCTGATCATGACGTGTCAAAGTAAAAACAGATMATTTTTCGGACTGCCATGAGGTTATAGTGCATGTTTAATTTATTCTGGGCTATTTAAATAGATGATTAATTATTGGATCAGATCTAAATTTGTGGTAAAATGTCCTGAAAGTTGCTGCATAACACTCAATACGATCATAAACTGATTAACTTTACAGTTTACAAAAAATAAATAAATAATAAATAACCCCAACATTTTATTTCTGTAACAGAGTAGAGTGAATGCACTATAGATGCAGTACCTATGCAGGCATGCTGAACCTACTGAAACACCTGCCAAACATTACCTTTTCTTTCCTGCAGCGCAGCTTTTTCACTCCCAGTGACTGGCAAACAGTGCAGAATGGTGAAAAAGATGAWAGTTGGGGGAATGATTTATTCAAAACAGTGGTTTCAGGGCTAAAACCCACACTCCGAGACATTTAGCAAATGCTGGAATCCAGTGCGCTTCCTGCATATATTTTTTTAGTTTCCCAGATAGCAAGCACTTAAGCTATTAGCTGCAGTTTCAATTAGGAGAAAGAGCTTTGTAATTGAAGCCCGTTATCTTGTGCACATGCCCAGACCAACAGACGTGGAGTTAATTTGTTTCTATAGATTTCCTGCAGCACAGCTCAGCAGGTTGGTCTCAACGCTGGAAACTGAGCTCGCAGGGTGAGAGGTTTGGTGAACATTTTGAACTGTGGTTCTTCGCGGTCTTCCTGTAAGCCCATTATTTGAAAGAAAAAAACGAACCTCCCTATTGTGTTCTATTCACTTCTGTGCTCACAGAGCAACACGGGTGGTTTCTGTCCACCCACAAACGATTCCCTGCATAGTTAGCTCAGAAAATATTATGTTGAAAATCCCTCCATCGCCACCAAAGGCAATCGTTTGCACTTGGGGAGAATGTGCAAGCATTAATAAGGTGAACAGTTCCTGCTCACAGATAATTAAAGTGGCTGTGTGAAGCCAGATGACGTGAGCGTGCTACTGCTGCATACACCTAGCCAGCTCAAATGCTGCTTTGGGTAATTAGTTTTAAACGCAATAAATTTTCAAGCTGAATCCTTGTAAAATATTTGACTTTTGTGTTTTAATTTTATTTGTTTACACTGATGAGTTTCATTTTTATATTGTCTTTGCTGCAACCTTGTTTTTTTTTTTTTACCTCACCATAAAAAAACTGTCGACTTAATTGCTTTGTTTTGGACAAAATCTGTATAAAGTTCAAACAGTGGTTCAGTTATTTTGCTATGCTGGAAAAGAAAACRTGTATTATGTACAGCTGGGTGCAATCAGCAATTTAGAACCTATAATTGATCATGTAGATATTATTCTAATACAAAGGTGAGACTTTTGGACTGTGAGTCACCAGCAAACAGCTTCTCCTACCCAGTCTTCCTGTGTGTGTCATGTTGTCTAATTTGTCGAGCCTTCGGAATGGGCCACCAAGAGCTAAGGATGAAGGCAGCAGCTGTGATGAGACTAAAGTTTGATTTGGACAACCTATACTGCGAGAGCAGCTTGCTGTCAGACTGGTGGCAGAGAGGCAAGTTAAGCCTGGTTTGTGCTTTGACAACACGATGTGAGACAGCAGAACAGTGCTAACGTCATTCAAGACATCTTTTTTTTTACCGAGTGTTTATAATCGGGCTGAAGACGCGTGCGGTAAATCATCCTAACCCCTCCCTTTGCCCTCCCACAGCACTCCTGATATAGCAATAAGTCACACTCGTCTAAACATATAAAAATATACGAATATAACAGCATTAAAKATATTGTTTTTTTCACTCATTGATGATGTTGGAAGAGTGGCTCGTGTTGTTTGATGAGGAGTAGGAGAAGGAGCAGGAAATACTTTTCATTTTTTGTTAACTGTTAAGATGGTAAGAAGACACTGGTGTCAGTTTCACGTTAATCTAGCGGAAATGTTGCTAATTTGGCAACACTGTTTCTAGGAGCAGACCATTTTCAGCAAAATGATATGGAGAAGAAGCACATACTGATCCTCATAAACAAACTCCCACGAAGTTCTGAAAATCAGACAATACAACTCGCATTGGTCTGTGAGACAGAGTTCAGACTGAGGGTTATGGACAAGACGGGGGGTGTCAGATGGAAGTTACGCAATTTTTGTCATGCAAGACGTGAGATAGGAAGCATAAATCAGCCTTTACTCAGGGAACAGGACGGTGTGTCCTATAAAAGAGTGCCCCAAAGGAACAACCTGTACTTAATGTACAGCTTTCTTAGGTTGTCAAAATGTATCATTTTCCTTGTGCTCCACCTGGACCATGGCTGACCCCCAGAATCACCATATGCACATTAAACCATTCAATCAATAGCAGTGTATTATGTAGTGTAGCTTTCATTTGAACCWCTTTTGTGAAAACAATTGAACAGTAGATTTTGTTGGCTTCTTTATTGATTTGTACAGTCTGCAGAACTGAAGACACCTGTTATACTGATTTCTGGGGAATTTTTCCCACTTTTAACAGGAATCACACAACAATATTAMATGCTGACAAAGAAAGATTACCTCCTAACAGGAGGGATACAGATACACATGCACATGCTCTATAAACAAACTACATAGGCCAATTTTAATGATCCAAAAATTTGTTTAATTTGCAGGTTCTATAAAATGAGCCCCGGTAAGAAAGACGATAAAACTATTTCATTTTTGCTTGCCAGAATAACAGCTTGCACTTCATCTGTGCGTAAATGCACAGAAGGAAGGCTGCCTTCAAGAGACGAGAGCTTTGACAGGTTGCAATATTTGTTGCCAAATTAAGGGATGCACATGAGTAGATTAGCTTGTATGAAAGTGATGTGCTTTCAAGAAAAAAATAAAAATAAAAAATAAAAAACCCACCAAAAACAAATGTCACTTTAAACATATTCTATAGGACAGATTTAACTTAAAGTATGTGATGACAATACAACACAAAATTATTAAAAACATGGTATGCACACGTTTTGACGAATCAACAGCTTTCCTCTGAAAAAGCTGTAAGCTCTGCTATTAATTTTCATTTTGCTTGGTTGTCTGCTTGTTTAGTGGAATTGAAAATTACTCTAACTGCACGAATGGGCAGCAATGATCCATGGTTCCACAGAAGTAGACTACCTACCTGAGGATTTTGTGAAAAATGGGCTTTGGTCGACTCATACCCACCTGCAGCAAAATGCAGAAAGAAATAGCCTATTAAGTGAATTGGCTGTAATGGCTGTTACACAACACGGTTTACTGCCATTACATGACGTTCAGGTGGTAAATTATGGATTAAAAAAAGGACTGTTATGTATGATCAAGCAAATATACAACACCCTAAACTGGTTTAGAGTGCTTTTGTACACTGAGGATATAATTATAGATGTATGTTTTTTTTAAACGCTCAGCTTTAGGAATACGAGGATGCCCACATGAAACGAGTTACGTGAATAAGTACAAGTTTTGATMGTTTGCGACAGAAAAACACATGCTGGATCAGTGTTTTCTTAGTTTATTTTATTTTAGTT